TAAATACTGGATGCAATAGTTTGAACATGACTGTAATTATTATGGATACATTTTCACAAAAATTTCCAATTCAGTTTTCGCAAATCAAATTTAGATTTCTCAATTTATACTGAACTGTCAGACAGATATTGCAAGGCCTCAAGCTGACAAGCTACATATTAGTAATGGAACATGTTTGGTTCTGATTGCACAGCTGTTGTGTGAGGATTCTCCCACTGCAACAAGCCTATAAGACAGATCTTCTGTGCTATTTCTATGGATACTCATAGAATATATTTAGAATATTTGATATCTGAAAGAAAAATATGTGAAAATGAAACAAACACTTCAACTACTGAATGCTTGACTATGCTGGAATGAGTATTTAGCTTGTGCTTTCTTCCCATAAAACTGTACTTTTTAAACTGTATATATTGGGATTAGCAAACAGATTAAGCGGTTAAAAAATACATATTTTTTCAGTGACTTTAGTGGTTCAGTATAAGCAGGCTCATTTGAAATGTATGCATTTCAGATGCAAGTATTAATCTATTTCTGTAGTAGAGCCACTGTAAAATACAGCTGAATATACTCAAAGTCAATATAATTGCTTTGGGAAAGATTCATTGTGAATGCTCCAGCTAACATCTGTACTGAAATATAATAACCGATTAAGAGAGAAAATAATTTCTTAAACGGAGTGTGTCCAGTATATGTGTGTGTGTGACGCATATGTGTACTGTGTGTCTACCTCTGAATGTGTGAGAATGTGCAATAAGGCTAACGGATGCTCAGCTACTTTTCACACCCACAGCATCATGTTGTCATGTGATTTCAGTCCTACATCAGCTCTATTCACATTCGTCACCTAATGGCTTTGTTACCAGGAGGATATTATCCCTCTCACTACTCATGTTTATAAGACAGCCCGTAGTGATCCAGTTGCCTATGAAGACCACTGAAATCAAGGCTGTATAATCATCTGCGTTTGCTTTCCAAATTTGTGCTGTAAATTGTGCATTAAAGCTGTTAATTTAAGTACCCACATAATAATACAAAAACATTCACTGAGACCTGCTTGCCCAACACCAACAGACAGGTTTACTAGGCAAGCACAGCGCTACATCAGCACCAAACAATCAACATGAATCAATTTACACATAGCCTCATATGTGCGCATGTGCAGCCACAGTGCTTTAGCAGACATGTTTCTCCTCTGCACCGTGTTGGTGGTGTGTGATTGCTGCATGGATCATGAACACCAGAGCATTTATCTTTAAATAACCTCCACCCCTTGTCGCTACTGAACAATAGCGAGACGCTTCTAATTTTCTGCAAGATAATGGTAGTCATATTGAGATGAAAAAGGTCAAGGGTTGGCTTGTGAGGTTCTGATTGGTTCGGAGCATCACACTGCCCCTGGAGATAAAATGGAAAGTGATATTTCATTTATAGCACCACCCTTCCGGACTACATAGCAATTTTAGGTGATAGCTCCATGAGGAGGCCCAGTTCTGCAATGATTAGAACGCAGCTACGAGTCAAACACTAAACACAAAAATGGCTAGTCTGATGTCTTGCATCAGCAGTTTTTTGCTGTTTTTTATGATCAAAGGCATGTGCTATATAGTTTTCCACATGCTGTTTTTATTATTATTTATTATATTTAGTGATTCAAATTGTGTGTCCCCACCCCCTCCAAGCAGCAAAGATTGATGGGTTTTGTTTATGCATATGTATAAGATGTACATATGCAGTTGAACCTGCCTTTGACCTTGATGTGCTGCATTAAATGAGCTACTGCTGTATACTCTGCATTGTAGTGTTTTAAAATATTAAATAAGAAAAACATTTCTTGTTCAATGGGTTCAAGGGATGTCGCTAAAGTGGAGTTGATGAACCTATATACTGACTTTAATTTTGTATTTCCACTAACATCCTGTGGTAGCCTGGTGTTGTTTATTTAATGTAATATTTCATTCATGCTTTAACAACGGTGGTTAGGAATCTGGCTGGTCTGTAAATATATTTACAACTACAGTTGTGACCATCTACCATAGAGTCTAGAGGATGCATAACCAAAGCACTGCACATTGCTGAAACCATTACACACCAACAAATAATAAATCAATGAAGTTCAAATTCAAATTATAATCTCTTAATGCCCCAGATACCTACAACAAATTCATGACATATACACAATGGTGACAGTGGGATAAAAGCTAACCTAACCCAGCTTGGACCTAAGGCTATTCTACTACCTAGCCAACGTCTGGCTAATGTTAGCAGGAAAATAAAATGAATGAAATAAGAGTAATTCAGCTATGGGAAATCACGGACTGTCGTGCACACATCTTTATAGATACCTGGCTTCATCACAACATCCCAGAACAAGCTATTGCACTCCAAGGGTGGACTCTGGTCTCTGGGACTAGGGTGGTGGTTTCCATCAATGATGCTTGTCATTTTAATCAAACCACACTCTTACCTAAACTCTACCAGATGTCCACATCTCCATGAGAACAAACACAGTGGACCATATTTACTCACATTCACTTGTATTCTCGGAAGCTACAAAGTCATCCCCGATCCCCATTTTGGTCTATCTATTTCCCTGCTTCTCTTGCCTACTTACACCTGGCAGATAAAAATGGTCAAACTATAAGTAAAAACTGTTTATGTGTGGACAGATGTAGCTACAGCAGCATCAGTCTTGAGTAATATACATAAACAGTAACATCATACATCAGCAAATGTGTTGATGATGTATGTATGTGATCACAAAGACAAACAAAACAAAAACAAAAAAGCTGCCTTTTGGTCATGTGGCAAGGAAGCATACAACAACACCACCAGAGCTGAGACTAGAGAGAGACCTCAACACTAAAATTACAGAAGACATGTGGCAAGCGATCCAGACCATCATAGGCTACCAAAGCAGGAGTGACCCCATCATGTGTGAGTCCACGTTGCCAGATGAGCTTATCACATTTCATGCTTGCTTTGATGTCCTCAACAAAGAGACAGCTGTAAAAGCTACTCCATCTCCAGAGGACTGGCCACTGTTAGTATCTACAACGGATGTTAGAAGAGAATATGAGTGAATATGAATATGAGTAAAGCTGCTGGGCCACAATTACATCCCTGGCCGTGTACTAAAAACGCACTAATCAGCTAGTTGATGTTATTATTAGCATAACATATCACTGTTACTGTTCCCACCTGCTTCATGACAGCCACCATCATCATTGTACCAGAACGGTGAGAATTTCCCGCTCCTCGGCCATGGAGGTGTTTGTTCCCTCCGCTGCCCCGTTCAAAGCTGCTCAGGGCCGATTGGCCTTCACACCTCCATCACCACTCTGGTGCTCAACACCAGAGCCCCCCTGGGCTGTGTGCTTAGCCCCCTCCTGTTCACGCAGTGCAACCATGACTGCATCCCCTGATATGGAGACAACTCTGTTGTGAAGTTTGTCAACAACACCACCATTATTGCACAGATTTTGATGAGAATTAATACAGGGAGGAAATCAACAGTCTTGCAGAGTGGTGCACAAAAAACATTTATTTTTATGTCTTATTATTTATTCATCCATTTATATAATTTTGGTTTTGTGAGTAGCATAAAGGGACTACAACTTGCATTTCGTTATCCAACCTTGTGTTGCAGAACGATAAATAAATGAACCATGTACTTTGTACAGTCTCATCCTGTGTTATATTATATGAATTCTTAAAAGCTTTGTGGACCAAGATTAGAGAAAGTAGCATTTGTCCGGCATTTTTCTTTTCTTCTTTTTCTTTTTCTACATTGCTTCTTTTATTATTATTATTATTATTTCAGCCAGAGGGCCAAATGCATCACACATTATTCAGTGACCCAAACTGCATTTCCCAAAGAACAGTCTAGCCAGTGGGAGTGGCCTGAGCTTGTTGAGGAGGCTGCCCTTTAAGGTCATTACATTGGTCATGTGATAGGCCAGCCGAGCCCCCTGGGCCGTATGACAAACCGAGCTGCCAGGCCGAGGTGTGTGTCAGGGGTGTTTTTCCACAAAGCATTCTATAAAAGTGTAACTGGGCTGTATTTGCCCTTTCCTCCTACTATGCGTTCAGCCAACAGGCCCCTGAAGATCTCTTAAAAAGTGCTGATCCACAGAGCTGGGCTGGTGCTCTTGTAATCCTTCTAGCTCTGCTCCACCTCTCCCCACGATCCCACCCTCTGTACCTCCGGCTTCCTCTCTAACATTCCCTCACTGTCTCCTGCTGATGCATTGCTCCGATGTGAGCGACAAGGTGATGGGATGGAGAGGCTTGTTTGGGCCCCAAGCTAATTACCACACATTAGAGCATGACTAAATAAATCTTAAGTGCCGCTAATTGCTCAGCAGTGAAAACAATAACTATGGTACTTGCCCAGAGGCTCTGGGGTAGTGAGGGGCATGGGCACTGGGGACCAAGGGCCCTGGCACTGGGCCAGCACAAGACACCAGCACCATCAGTCAACTCCCTCACCCCCTCTGCCTTCATGTTAAAGTCACACACCACTTGGCACTGTCACTACATGCACTATATGCCCCACACCCACCACATCCACCACTGAGTTCCAAACACACTCCATGCAGCCCTCACCAGCAAAAAATAAGCCATACATGACAGGTACAGGCAAGCTCAGTCTGTGTGTAGAGCCATCATACATCACTGCATTAATAAACATGAATTAGTAATGGCACAATTAGATGTGCTTGTTCTGACATTCACTAGTACAATAATGGTGTTCTCCTCTTTACAACCCCCTTTGGACTGTACTGGGGCGCCATCCGATCTCAGACCGTTAAATGTAAGGGATGGAAGGGGTGGAAATGTCCCACTCAGTGTGTATTTTGGTTACAACAACAAAAAAAACACATCTAAGGGACCAGTTTCAAGACGGTTTGGTTATGTTTTATGTTTGAAAAATGGATATATAGATATATAAATATCTGCATCAGCCTACAATAAGTGCGTGTTTGTTTCCCTCTTAGGTTGCATTCTATTGTGGGTGAAGAAGACGTTTGAACAGCCTGTGCTGCCTATCAGATCTCCTGTGGCCCAAAGGTATGTTCAACGCAGCAGCCCTACCACACTGAAAGGGGCATCACAAAGCCTTTCAACAAATTCAACAAATTCTTTCTACTTTCTGAACATTACTCTTTTGTTTCCAAGGTTTCCAAGACTCAGGTAGTACAGTCCATGATTTGTATTACTTATATTCTATATACTTTATATATATATATATATTATAGTATATATATAAATATCAAATCAAATTAAGTTAAACAAACTGTTGAGATTTAGAACCAGTATATGTCTGTTTATTTAGTTTGCAACAGTGCCAGCTGATGCTTTTACTCAATATAATAATCAGAGGGATAATATGCCTTTCAATCAAAACTCATTAGCATAAAACTATTGATCACAGACATTGTTGAAAATAGTACACTCATAAACAATGCAAATTGATCAACAGTTATTTTGTTTCAGATTTTTCCCTTCATTCAAATTGTTAATTATTTATCATTACTTTAAGTTTCATTTTCTCAAAAACTGACATGAAAAGTGATGTGATCTCAGTGTCACGTGTATCCTCTGCCAGTTTATGATCTTTCCTTTCTCTCCTAAACCAGTAGCTTCTCATTTGCACTGTCACTCTTCTGTAGTGCTTTAATGCTTTCCCAGGGGACTCGTGCGCTTTTGTTAGCTTTTCTGTGAACACACACAGCCTAATTGGTTGATTAGTTCAGGTTGACTGGCCTGTTAATTGAAAAGTAATTTAGATTTGATGTGTCTAATGAAGATCCTAATTTATGGTTTGGCACTCATCCAAGGGTTTGTTTTTGAGAGTAGGAATCAAACAAAAAGGATGAAAGGGAACAAGAAAATGATTCATTGTCTCAGTGCTGCTTTGATAGCACATGAATTAAATCTGTGTGTAAGGTGATAACACTTAAGAGTATTTTATTTTATCTCCCTGAAATGAAACTGATATAGACAATAGCGAGGCACCAATATTTGTAAAGAAAATAATAAAAATTAAAAAAAGGTAAGTTTGTATTTGTGTTTAAAATAAGGCAGCCTTTTGGTTTTTTGTCCTAATACCATGTCGTTTATACACCATAAACATACAAATAAAACGCTGTTAAGTGTTAACACTTGTTAAGTGAATGAACCTCTCTTTTGAGGTGCTATATGAAGCAATTTAGTATCAGTGAATAGGTATCACACAATTCTCAGAGTGTTTCTGAGAGGACGGGCAGCCATATTTAGCTTCTACAGTTTTTTACAATGTGTGCCATTGGCTTGAATTTTGCAAGACTTCTGATCTGTGGAAGCTAATTTAAGGCACAGAGTAGGTATTGCTGGTAGTACAGAATTTATTAATATTATTTGTACTGATTTTCTTTCATCAGTGTCTTTAATAAATGTAATGTTTTGTCTCTGCTTAATAACATAGCATGTAACCTATATTTGGGTCTCTTGATGATCATATATTGAGGGCACATTTGTTAATATTGATCCACATCTGATCAGGGTTTCATAAATCCGGATCAGATGTGCCCATTGGTTTTTATTATGTTTTTCTTCCATGCAACTCGATTCATCCTTGAGCTGAAAAAGAGCCGTCTGCAACAGATAAACTCAATGTAGCTTACTAGTCAATTATGATGAGAAAATAAGTTGTTGCCCTGAACACATAACCTGTGCATTGTGTACATTGAACAAGTTAGACGCAAGCAAGCTTGTACTGTTAAGGTTATCTTCCATTCTTAACTTAAACACTAAGTAAGTTCCTCTGGTTACCGTTACATGTACAGTACCAGAGCTATAGTTGTCTAACGAGTCTAGCTCAAGTGAAGTAAGAAGTGAAGTCTAGCACACTTTGCACGCAACTTGCATTGTGTACCGCACAATAATGTTTCATTTGTTTCACAGTTTATTTACTGTATGTTGTTAGCTTATTGTCCTTGGTACAAAATGTTAATTCTTTTAATTTAACTGCAGGTCCACAGAGGAGTGAACCTGTAGAGTGTAGGCCTCATAGTGTTCCCACACCAGAGCTCCAGTGCAAAGTGAGTTTATGAGCATTAAGGTCCTCCCCCACAGTTTGGAGGAATATATCTTCCCTCAAATCCACAATTATGCACAAGGAAGTCACATTTAAAATCAATCAATGGAAACTTGATTTCCCTTTAGCATTGGGGGATGATCCCAAAAGCCTTTTGACTCCTCCTCCAGTGCAGCACAGCTTAGGGCCTTGAATCAAACATTCATTGTTGTTGCTGAGTGGTCCAGTCAGTCGTTTGTTCAGTAAAATTCCAACAAAATTCAGTACAAAAATTAAATCCAATCCAATGAATTGTCAAAATGTCAAAAAACATCCCAAAGCTAGCTTTATCCACAACAGTTCAAGTACTACCCTCTTGCAGCCGTTGTCATCTGTGAGTTTGAAATCAGTTTTGGATTATACCTTCAACTTTGCCTTAATCAGCAGTGTTCCTATTATTTCCTCCATGGATGTTTGTATCGAGGATGCAGGCTATTCCTTTCGGTCGTTGGTTTTCTCAGGAATTTCCAGTTTTGATTTTACTGTTGCAGCTGAACTCATGAGCACAGTATTTGCTGGGCCTTCTCTGTCCCATGTTGTCACCAAGGCATACTGCACGTTTGACTCTCCAACTACTTCTGTTCAGAGGGAGTTTCTTTCTAGACAAAACATAAAAAATCAAAGTACAGTAATAAATAAAGCAGGATAATTGCAAAACATCTCAACCGCCCAACATCCGCAGCCCCCGCCACCGTACACACTCAATCCCTTTGAACGTCATGCACACTTATGAACATGCAACAATGTCCCTGACTGTGCTACATAGCAGGCCAAACTAGTGCAGGCATTAGCAACCTTAGGTGTGGGAATCACCCCCTTTGTTGCACACATACACATTTCTTCGCACTATTTCTCCATCTGTCACTTACCCGCATACTTAAAGCAGCAGTCATTAGTCGCCCTCACCCTCCCTCCCTTAATGAGAAAGCAATTACCATAGGTTTCTCCCAGTGGCCTGGCAGCGTTGTCCGAAACCTGCCTCCCCACCTGCCTTCAGCTCTGCGTCTGCTTCTCTCTCAGATTCGCTTCTCTTCCCTTGTACCTCTTCTCCCTTCCACTGTGGCTGCAGACTCTCTCTCTTTCTCCATCCTCTCTGCAGCCTCTCTCTTTCGCTCCTCCCATCTCTGAGCTCTAGGCTGCTCTGGGTTTTAGACGGATCACTCTCACAATGGTTGATCAATACAGGTATTGATCCACTGGCAAAATGTTTATAAAATCATTCTGGGCAGCTGCAGTGCAGTGGGGAGGGGAGGCGGGCCAACGAGAGTCCCGGCATGCCATGCCATTCGCCTACGAGAGAGCCAGCAGTACCTGATTGGCTGTCTGTCTACCCGCCTTGCCAGGAAGAGGGCTGGCATAGTCTGCGTTTCTTTGTCATTGTTGCTTGGTATACCACAGCCCTCCCTGGCTTACGCCACTAAACTTTCCAGACCACCAAAGCAGAGTGCAGCAGTTTAACCTTTTCGCTGCTTGATGTTGACTGCTTGCCAAGCGGTGGCACCCGCTCCCGCTCCTTTCACATCAGCCAAGAAATTAATTTGCATAAATTATCAAGCTGCAGGCAATCCCGGTCTAATGATCCACTGTCATTTCGTGTTCCCTTTCTCCCTTATCTTAGCAGGAAAACACTCCTAAATGCCGCCCTGGTTCTTGCCTGTCCACATGCCCACTGTGAGAAATGTGTCACCTCAGAAACCTTCGCCATAGACCAACACACATACACACACCACGGATCCCAGCGTGAGCAAATATAGGGAAGCTCATAGGCTGAAAATGTGCAGAGGAACACCTATCCACAGCATGTCCCTGCTGTACCATCATGAGTGAACATGGCTGGCTCTCATCCTTGCCTTCCTCTCGACTTTCACACTTTGAAGCTTACCGTAAATGAAAGGACTCCGTTCCAGTCTCTGTTACTCCATTGTGGGAATTATTAGCAACATTAGCAGCAGCACACCGACCACAGCAAACTGCTGTGTTCTGTCTACGGCAAAAACACACTGTTGCTCCACTTGGGAATGCTACTGACAGGCCAGCTAACTCAAATACTGGAACACTTTAGTGCAGTACAACTAGATAGCAGATTCAAGCGATGCGGTTTATCAAAGGCTTTGTAATCCAGGGAGGGGCTTTTGCTTATGTCTTGTTGAGTGATGATGTATGAGATGTTTCTTTACACAGAGAAGATAATTGCAGTTTGGAGCGCAGTGTGGTGTAACTTTTTCCAGAATGACATGTTGAACCAGACTAACATCTGTCAGCCATAAGGCCAGGCAGGCTGTGTGACCTGAAGTCAACCTCACCCCTCTGGGGTGTGTGGCTTTATCCATTCCTCTACCTTTCTGGCACTTACTCTAGACCCAGATGCCCAGACACTGGTCAAAACCACACAGTCTGGGCCTGCCCTGACCCATCTTTTATTAAAGGACAATGTTGAGCTAATTATGGGAAATGGTGCATATGACAGTAGCTGTAGCAGTAGTGGTGCATTCTTTTAATTAACTGCAGCAGTTGCTTCTGCTTGGCGCATGGTGAGAAAGACCTCCTGGATTTTCTTAGGCCTCATCCAGTTCACTAAACCTGTCCCAATCTCAAGAATATGATCAACACACATGTACACACAGACAGATAAATGGATTTGCAAACACATGTAGGAAGTGTCACTCACACATACGCTGGAGAGTGGTAATTACTCTAACACATCCAGAACTAGCCACAGCTCATTCATTACCATAACATGTTGTAATGAAGTTTAATCCCTCATCATGTTGTCTGTGGTTGGGGAGTGGTGTGTGGCTGTTATCCTCCACTACTCCAGATGTCTTCCAGACTGTGTCTCTTCAGTGCTGTGCTAGACTGAAGACATGCCATTCAGTATCCCACCTTTAGCCATTTCCTTCTTTTTTATCTCTTCTTTTTTCCCTTGTAAATTCATTTTGACCTCATCTATCTT